GGTATAGATTTATAAAAATGGGTTAATTTAAGATAAAAGAACAGTTAGCAAGAAGCCTGCCATGGCCATACAGTTTATAAGTAATATAAGCGTCTGAGTGATTATTTTATATGTGGATTGTGGGACTGTGGGGCTTGGTGGAAGCTGGAGAGAAGCCCTCCAGCAACAACGGCCCATTGTTAGAATATCAGCATGAGGGAGTCTAAGACAGGGGGTTTCCCCAAGTTTGAGGCCAGCCTGGGCTATACAGTGAGACCTCATCTCAAATACAAATAAATAAACAAATAAATAACCAGCAAGATGGCTCGGCAGGTAAAGGTGCTTTTCACTGAGTCTGATGACCTGAGTTCAATTCCTGGAACCTACAGACTAGGAATTGTCCCGATCTCCACATTACACAAGAATGCACCACCCCTCCAAAAACAAAAAGTAAGAAAATAAACCTAAGAGATTTTTAAAAAGTTTTATTTATTTACTATGCATATAGTGTTCTGCCTGCATGACAGAAGAGGGCACCAGATCTCATTACAGATGGTTGTGAGCCACCATGTGGGTGCTGGGAATTGAACTCAGGATCTCTGGACGAGCAGTCAGTGCTCTTAACCACTGAGCCATCTCTCCAGCCCCATAAGAGATTTTTTAAAGAAAGACTATATAAGGAACTTGGGCTGAGAGAAGTAGCTCAGTAAAAGGGCACTGTAGGACCCTGGTTTCCACTCCCAGCATTATACAAAATGTAGAAAAAAACCAAAATAATAGCGTATCTGAGGACTCTTACAGCTCCACAATCCAAAGCCAAGGGCTTTAACCAGAAATGAACAAAGCTCTGAACAGACATCTTTCCAAAGATGACACCTTTAATCTCAGCACTCGGGAGGCAGAGGCAGGTGGATCTCTGTGAGTTTGAGGCCAGCCTAGTCTACAGAGTGAGTTCCAGGAAAGGCGCAAAGCTACACAAAGAAACCCTGTCTTAAAAAGAAAGCTGGCCAATCAGCATTTTATTTATACAGAGCAATCTCCACAGCATAAGCACACTTAGGAGAAGATACTCCACAGCATTTGGGAAACCTACATCCCAGCCACCCACAGCACGGCCATGACCGTGGTGGGGAGCCGGGCCTGGGAGCACAGGCTTGTGAGCACAGCTGCTCTGGAAGCAGAATGGAAAGGTAGTGGTTCCCTGGCCACTCAGTGAGTTCAAGGCCAGCCTGAGCATCACACTGAGGTGAGACCTCGTCACAAATAAAAAGTAATAAACTGACTGGGGATACTGCTCAGTGGTGCAGGGGCTGCCTAGCATGAATCAGGCCCTAGGTTCAATCCCCAGCCCAACAAACAAATAAGCAAGAAAATACAAATCAAATAAAACCAAAGGTGGGAAATAAGCATCGGTGGGGTGTGGACAAAGCAGGAGCCCTGGTGTTGCTGGTGGAAATTTAAATGTATGGCTGCTGTGGGAAGAGACCACAGGGTCCAGCAAACACCTCGGCAGTTTGTGGGAGTTGGTCTCTCCTTCCCCATGTGGGTCCTGGGGGTGGAGCTCCTGTGGTCAGGCTTACACCCTCACTGGCTGAGCCCTCTTGCCAGTCTCCCATGCTCTGCCCAGGGAAGGAGTACTTACTGTCATCTCCCAGGAGGTCACCAAGGACATCATCGATGGAACCTGAAAACAAATGGGCCATCAGGACTTCAGGAGGCAAAAATGACATTTATAAACCCACAGCCTGAGACTTCTGTGTTCTGAGTTCTCTGATCCCAGGCTGAAGGCTGACATCAATGTTCCCTGGCCACGAGATGATTTCTAATGGCAACAAGCCACAGTGCCTTGGTGAAACCTCAGGTAGACGTTTAGAATAACCTTCCCGAAGAATGACAATGATGATTTTTCAGTGAAAAGTTTCTAACTACCTCACCCAAAACACACAAGGCCATCGGGCGGTGGTTGCACACACCTTTAATCCCAGCACTTGGGAGGCAAAGCCAGGCTGAAGTCTATGAGTTCGAGGCCAGCCTGGTCTACAGAGTGAGATCCAGGACAGGCACCAAAACTATACAAAGAAACCCTGTCTCAAAAAACAAACAAACAACCCCCCCCACACACACACACACAAGGCAGCAATCAGTCTTCCAGCCTCTAAGAGGCCAGTATGGTCGGGAAAGCATCCACACACATGAAAGCCTCTTGTGTCTCTGTACCCGCATCTGACAGCTCCAAGAGCTGGAGGCACAGTGGGGACACCTAGGTGAGCATGTGTGGATGAATTCTCCTATCCCGCTTTCTTTGCCTCCACCACCCTTACCTTCAACCACATATCCCCAAATTCGGAGCTCAATGAGGAACATTTTTTCTCAACCTCATTTATTTATTTACCTGTTTGTTTTTAAATGTTGGGTAGTAGAGTCAACCCTGTGGTTTGCTCCACTAAGGGCTCTGTTCTCTCCACCTCTTTTTCTAGGAGTGTATCAGCAAAGTCCTGCTTCATCAGACGGCCTTCTTGATCTTCTAGTTTTCTAGTTTTTTATGAGATAGGGTCTCTCTCTACATAGTTCTGTCTGTACTGGAACTACATAGATCAGCTGGCTTTGAACTCACAGAGATCAGCTTGCCTCCGCCTTCCCAGTGCCAGGATTAAAATTTAGCACCAACATACCTAGCTTTATTCTTTTTCTTTTTCAAGTTGGAACAGAAATGTATGTCCTGACATTTGTGTAGAGGTCAGAAGAAAACTTGCAGGAATCAGTTCTCTCCTTCCACCATTTAGATCCTTGGGATTCAGGTTATCAGACTTGGGATGAGATACCTTTACCTGCTGAGCCTCCTCACCGGCTTTTTTTTTTTTTTTTTTTTTTTTTTTGGTAAAGGCATATTCCTTTAATCCCAGCACTCTGGCAGAGGCAAGCAGATCTCTGTGTGTTCCAAGACAGCCTGGTCTACAAAGGGAGTTTCGGAATAGCCAGGGCTACACAGAGAAACCCTGTCTTGAAAGCAAAAAAAAGTGTATTTGGATTAAGGGTGATGTTCCATGTCTCCACTCACCTTTCAATCCTTTCTTAGTTTTCAGTGCCTAAAATGGAGGGCAAAAAAGATCACATCATCACATCAACAAAATGCAGCAGTGAGTATGTGCTGGAACTGGGCAAGAAGAACGCTCTGCCTTTCTCCTGACCCCCAGGGAAGGAACATCAGGCATTACAAGTGAAGCTCTTTTCCTCCAGCATTGGAGAATGGATGTACTGAGAGTCCAGACACAGTCCTTGCTATCCAGCAAAGCCAGGGTATAGACGGACACCTACCTCTCCTCAGACTTACAGATACCACATGCAAAAGCCACGAGGCAGGTGAAATCAATAACTAGAACATTTTCTTCTGTTCTGTGTGTCTGATGGGTGTTTAAAATGCTTTCAGCAGGAAATGCAGAGGACTCAGAGGCTTAAGAGATAGACTGGCATGGCTCACCTTCAATCCCAGCACTCAGGGAGCAGAGGCTGGTGGATCTCTGAATTCCAGGCCAGCCAGAGCAGCAGTGAGACCCTTGCCTCAACAAAACCAAACCAAAGAACAACAACAACAAAAACAGAGGCTCAAGGGAAACTTTGCTCACTGATTAGTTTGTTTTTTGCAGGGCCTGGGAAGGGTCTCACTGTGTAGTCCCGACTGGCCTAGAGTTTGCTATGTCAAACAGGCTGGCCTGGAATTCACAGAGATCTACCTGCCTCTGCCTCTACTTCCAAGTGCTGGGATTAAAGGCCCAACTTGAATGCTTAAGGTTTTTCTAATGTGACTCTGCTATGGAGACCATCTCCCAGTCCTTGCCACAAAACTTCTGGAATATTCTATGCAGTCAAAATGTTCAGGGATGGGGTGGGGGTTTGTTCACATTTCACATGTCTAATCTGCACTCTGCCTACCATTTTGGGCTTTGGGGCTTTCTGCAGCTCCTTCACAGTACTGTCCAGTCACGTGCATTCTTGCTGAGCAAGTTCATCTTCCCTAGTAGAGAAAATTAAAGTAGCTGTTTAAATGTGATGTAGCTAAAGCTGGAGAGACGGCTCAGGAGCTAAGAGCACACACACACTGTTCTTGCAGAAGACCTGAGTTGGGTTCCCAGCACCTGTGTTGGGTAGCTCACAAACTCCTATAACTCCAGCTCCAGGGGGGATCCAAGCCTCTGGCCTCCATGGGCCCCTGTATCCACACACACTTACACACACAGAAAATCTTTTTTTCAAAAATAAGTGTTTTAGTTGGACATGGTGATATAATCCTGAAATACCAGAACTTGGGAAAGGAAGGTGGAAAAATCAGAAGCTCAAGGTCATCCTCAGCTACACAGCAAATTCAAGGCCAGTCTGGGCTATGTAAGTCTCAGAAACAAACAAAACCCCAAAACAATAAATAAATAAATAAAAAACAACAACAACAAAAAAAAACCACAGCATTTACCAGTGCTTGACCCTAAGGTTGTTAAGCATCCTATCACTTAAGAGGTCAGAACCTAGCCAGGCAGTGGTGGCACACACCTTTGATGCCAGTGCTTGGGGACAGAGGCAGGAGAATCTCTTGTGAGTTTGAGGCCAGTCTGGTCTACAGAGCAAGATCCAGAAGAGCCAGGAATAGGTCAGTGAATAATGATGCTTTTTGCCACCATGCCTTGCTGTGGGATGATCCTTCTGTACACTGTGAATATGTATTAGTCCCATTGGTTAATAATAAAGCTGTCTGGCCTATAACAAGGCAGAATAAAGTAGACAATCAAACTGAGGACTGGATGAAGAAGGGCGGTCAAGAGAGACTCCAGCAAGCCGCCCAAGAAGCAAGATGCCAGAGGACTGGTAAAGCATGGGCCATGTGACAATACATAAATTAATAGAAATGGGTTAATTTAAAAGTAAGACCTAGTTAATAATAAGCCTGAGCTATTGGCCGAGCATTTTGTAGTTAATATAAGCTTTTGTGTGTTTAAGGACTGAGCGGTCAAGACAGAAAAACTCTGCCTCTGTTTACAATGCCTTACTACATGAGTTGGATCCTCAAAAAACACATGGAGGGGGAAAACTGACTCCTGAAAGTTTTCCTTTTACCTCCATGTACAACGATGTCCCACACCACACCTTCCAAACAAAGAAGAGCAATTAAAAAAAAAAAAAAAAAAAAAAGAATTCCAGAGCTGGGTATGTTAACACACACTTAGCTTTGCCAGGTGGTGGTGGTGCACTCCTTTAATCCCAGCACTCAGGAGGCAGAGGCAGTCGGATCTCTGTGAGTTCGAGGCCAGCCTGGTCTACAGGACAGCCAGGGCTGTTACAGAGAAACCCTGTGACAAAAAAGAAAGAAAGAGCGAGCGAGCAGGGGGAGCTGAAGGGAAGCCTCAGGCATCAGGAGCACTTGTTGCTCTTCCAGAGGAGCTGGGTTGGATTTCCATTGCCCACAGGCGGCTTACAACCTCTGTAACTCCCTTGGGGGGCAGGAGGGATAAATGGATCTGATGCCCTCTTCTAACCAACCAGAGAACTTCATGCATGTGGCACACAGACATACATGCAGACAAAACACCCCTACACATAAAATAAAAATAAATTTAAAAAAGAAGAAGAAAAAGTTAGACATAGTGGCTCATACTTGTAATCCCAGCCTTTGGGGGCCGAAGCAGGGTTGCTTGAGTTAGGGACCAGCTTTGACCATATAGTGAGTTCCTGGACTAGGGTGGGCTCCTGTCTCAAGGAACAGATTGTGTGTGTGTGTGTGTGTGTGTGTGTGTGTGTGTGTGTGTGTGTGTGAGAGAGAGAGAGAGAGAGAGAGAGAGAGAGA